GAAGACTTGGTGTTGACGACATTCCCATCTTCCCCCTCCTCTTCGTCTATCCCCTTCCTCCTCGTCTGTGCATGTTCTGGGCTGGCGCTGTCTTCCTGTGTGGAGTGCCAGACCCATTCACACTATGAAACGATGATGATGATGTATGTTCAGGGCTGCATTACAACATTGATTGTTCGGATCACTGGTATCTAAGCCTTCCGCTGTGCTATCTTATACCTTGTATTGAAAGGTCGGTTCTTGTTCTGGTCTGCACCTATACGGTATGCAACACAGACCGACTTTCAATGCCACGGTAGAACCACCGAGGGCATGCTCACATCTGACTCTTTTGAATCTATCCAGCCATCAGTATGTCGGAATTTGGTCGGAAAAGTGGTAGCCTAAGAGTGAGTGTCTTGTTCTCCCAAAAGTACATGTGCATATCTGTGAGGCATCATCACACTAGCTGTGCGTTGGGGTAACCGTCCGGCCAGATGCAGCTATCATGACCATGCCTTCTGTTCGGGGAAGGCAGGCGTTGGGGAGCAAGAGATGGGCACTCCTGTCCCTGTTGTTAAGCCACGTGGTTGCATGCCTCCATTGCACTAAGAAGCTTCTGCTCGAGTCCGGCGCAGTCCATTTTCTGGGTTATAATAATAATGATACTCCAATTGACAGGGCAGCTGGACAGTGCCTGGCTAAAGCTGTCGGTAGAGGTACCAGTGGTTTTGACCTTGAGGACTGGTAGGGGGATCTGTAGCATAGGACTCATTATCTTGGATTCCACCTCTTCTGGATGACTATTATTTTGGAGTAGACGGATACCAACCTGTAGTGAGCTGTTAGCGTGTGGAGCCTGACCATGGCCCTGGTTGAATGATCCAAAAATTTGCTGATGAGAACCCTGGGGCCGGCCACTTGTGAATACATCTCAAGGCTGCTGCCCTTTTTAAAAAGCCGAAAACACACTGTCCCAATGGTAGGTGACAGGTGTCAGCTGTGGATGTGTACCCTGCCAGGTGGCTTGATGGCACACTGTACTTCGATTAACAGATCAAGAGTTCGAATCCTGGGATGCCGTTATGATAGGGGCTAACGCCTTTTGTTTTATGCAACTGGAAAAAAAGAAAGATTTTAGTTGCATCAATATATCGTCAAATAGAATATATACATGGAACTGGCAGTTGCCCGTCAGTGCTGACGTCGCGTTTGTTATGATTCTTACGATTATGCAGGTGGATGTTGTGGATGAGGAAGCAGCTGGCCGTTCCATCACACAAAGCTTGTTGCCGAGGGAGGAAGGAGAGTCCAGCAATGGAATGACATGGGGGGATTGGAAATTTATTATTTTACCGTAGGTGTTTTCTCTTACACACCCTAGAGTCCTCATGCCGCCCACAGTTCCTCCATACACATGTATTCTGTTCTTCCCTCCGTCTCCTCCAGCCCCTGCTGTTCTCCCTCTCCCTGCTTCCTACGTCTTCACCCTCTCTCTTACTTCCCCTCCACCTCTCCCTCCTCATTTCGCATCTCTCTCTTTAGGCTGGTAGTCGGCATACTCATACCACACTGTTCAGGTGTACCTGACCCATTTCACGGTGTGTTCAGTTATTATAGTTTGGGTGGGAGTATCCATGCTTTCTCGAGTCACCTTTCCCTTCCCTTCCCGTGTGTGTTGTCATTTTGCCTATATACAACTCCACAGAAAAAGTGTGACTGTGCCAGACTGTTTCTTTGGACTTTCACCAACTCTGTGTGTGTGTGTGTGTGGTGGTGGTGGGGGGGGGGGGCAGAAGTAACACACAAAAAAGCGTAAATGTGGTGTGTTGGCACTCGTCCATGCCTAGGCCTACTTAAATAGTACTACAAATTGAGTGAGTGGGAGAAGGAACACACAAAAAAGCGTAACTGTGGTGTGTGTGTGTGTGTGTGTGTGTGTGTGTGTGTGTGGGCTATCTACAACAAACAAAAAATTGTAACTGTGCCAGACTCGGAAACCAGGCTTTCATAGTCTCCTCCAGAGGTTGAACCCCTACAATGCCGAGAATGACATAAGTGATGGACAAGGAGTATTAAGGACTCGCCAAATCGCCCAGAGTTAGTGATACCCTTGAGGCAAGTGGTGGACTTTACTCACACGAACCCTGCTATCCTAGCAGACTGTCGGTCCAAGAGTAGCATTAGGTCCCCAAAACTGGTCTGTCCAAGGTGTGAAAGCCACTCTGTGTGTGTGTGTGTGTGTGTGTGTGTGTGTGTGTGTGTGTGTGTGTGTGTGTGTGTGTGTGAAATCTTTTGTGTTTCATTTGTGCTTACTGCTTTTTTGCTTGGGGTCTTTGAAGTGACACTGTATTTTATGTCTTCTGGATTCCAGTGGAGGTAGGGTCCAACATCCTACTGTCACAATGTCGTACTTGTTGGCCACTGCAGGCCCTGACACTGTCTTTTGCAAATGGAAGGATTCCAGTGGTGAAACCACGGATATGCCACGGGCCTAGCTATGCTTTCGCCGGTATAGACAGAGGCCACATAAAGTTTGGACTTCTGAATCCAAGGGTCATACTGCAGGGGTGCACTAAATATCGAGTGCCCGAACCTTGGCGACTTTTGATTGTCATTTCTGCGTCATTGATGGGGAAAATTAGAAAGACAAAAAAAGATAGGGTTTTTTTTCTGGGGGGGGGGGGGGGGGGGGGGGGGGGGGGGAAGCGGACGAAAAGCATATGGCCACAAAAAGGAGTTTGGCGCAAACGGAATCGCGTAGGGTTTGCGTCGGTCCCCCCATTTAGGTTCAGAAAGCCAGAGGGTTGGTGCAAAAATAGGTTGGGCAAAAATGGGGTACCTTCCGTAGTGGTGATATTTGGCGGAAAGCATTGCAAAAGGAATTGAATTGCTTTTTTTTTATTACTGGAAGTTTTTCAGAAAATGGCAGAGCCTCCTGATAGAAGGTTGTCCCTCTCTCCATCTGAACCATCCATTGCTTCAGTTGTTTTTTCTTTAAAAAAAAGCTGTCTTGTCCTCGTCGGGGGACAGGCATATAGTTTTCTCTCACCTCACATATTTTTAACTGGCCTTGTCCTCATTGGGGGACAGGCATATAGTTTTCTCTCACCTCAGTGACCTCACATATTTTGAACTGGCGTTCTGCCATGTCATGGAACATATCTTTCTTTCACTACCTACCGACCACTACTCCTAAGGCTATACAGGGGAACCCGGAACCCTAAACGCTAGGGCAACGGAGCAAGCATGCTGTTACCTCTCTCCACTGAGAGGGGTAACCTCCTTTCATTGCTTCAGTTGTTATTATAACCAAAAGGCTTTTAACTTTTTGCAAATTCAATTCATTATGAAACGGTATTCACCAGTTCGCAGTAGCTGATGCAGATCCCAGGGCTCGATCCCTAGTTCCCCATCTTACCTGTGTACAGTACCGGTGTCAACCCGTAGATTTGAACCTGCGACCTGTAGGACCGCCAGTGGTAGGTAGGATTTCGTAGGTTACAGGGTAGAAGAGATTCGAACTATAGACCTGTCGGGTAGGAGTCTAGACAGTCTAGAGGTCGTAGCTGTAGACTGTCCGAAGGGTCAAGGTCGTAGCTGCTACTTACCTGAAAGGGCAAAGTCGTAGCTACTACAATACCGAAAGGCCAAAACAGAGAGTTCTAGAAGTGGCCTTTCGGAGTCAGCCTACGTTAGACAGAGGCAAGTGGTCAAGTGGTGGCAGTCCACCTCGTACAGTCAGCAGTCCCAGTCCACCCAGTCCGGTCCAGTCAAGCAAGTACAGTCTGGGACTGTGTGCACCGTGGGCCAGGGGACACAGGGCAGACCAGCGAGGCACAGAAGTATAAATCAAGAGGCTGCGTCCAGCCATTCATTCATTCATGCGGAAGCCATGCGGAAGCGCTGCTTCAGCGCCTTGTGCAAGGAGGTCTGCTGAAGGCCTGAAGACGAAGTGGGCGAGAGTGGAGCAGGATAGCCATAGCGATAGGTAGTGGCAGCCATAGCTGGAATAGCTTAGTATAGAGTGCAGTATGTGTGTACTGTGTGGGTGTTCAGAGTGATGGGCGTGGGACATCCAGGGTGATCCAGAGTGTGAACAGTGAGTTGTTTGGGCGCACAGCCGCCATAGCCAACTGAAGGAGAACTCTTATCTGGTTGCGATATCTCTGACTACTGTGTGGGCGCATGTCGCCAGTTTGTCTGCTGCTGTTCACATGTGAATAAGTCGAGTCTGATTGCACTGGTATCGGAGCTGGTACCCGCTGTTCCACGCGCGTCGTCGTGTGCAGGGCCGATGCGCCATAGCTGAGGTGGCGACCGAAGGAGGCAGTCCGCCATAGCGGACCTCGGGTTGAAGAAGCCACCGCGCACCTGCAGGCAGAGGACCACGACGAAGAAGAAGGTGGAGAGAGAGAGAGAGAGAGAGAGAGAGAGAGAGAGAGAGGTGAGAGATACAAGATTGGGTTATTACCTGCTGCGCTGAAGATACCGCTACCTGTGATCCAAGAGTTGCACAGTCCGGCGGAGGAGGAAGGAAGCGGCCATAGCCGCGGAGTATCATCACCGGGTATCGAAGGAGAGAGACAGGGAGGACAGAGGAGGGACCGAAGGAGGGAGAAAGAGAAGTGTGGAAGGAGGGATATCGGAGAAGAAGACAGACATAGCCGGGGGTGAACA